TGGGGAAGGCTGGGACCCTTTCTTTTTAGATAAAAGTGTTTGGAGACCACAGTCTGAGAGGAAGAACGACATGCCAACATCCAGGGACTGGAAATCTGTCATTCTAATGACGATGTTCTAATGACATTCTAATAGCACTCTAATGACAGTGACAGGGTCTCATGCGCTTGGACGCCCCATCCTGGGCTGTTCCCATGCCACAGCCATGTGGCGACAGATCATCAAGGCGAGTGCCAGGTCACCGACCCGGGGGCCCTGATGCTAAGCTCTGCAGTCCCATCCTATGCTCTGTGGAGGTCAATGTCATGTGCTTGGCACACTCATCTTACCTGTCAGCTTGGCTCTGTATCACCAGGCAATTGGAGCCCCTTCTGGACAGACCCCTCCCCAGAGGACTGCACATGGACTCTTCCTGCTTCTGACCACCCCTCAGGTGGACACCCGGACATGGAGATGCTGGGGTCCAGCTTCCACTCGGCACCCTTCTTTTGCAATCCTGCCACATCACGGGGTGTCCTCAGCAGTCTGCTCCTTCTCATTTCTGGGTCACACCCAGGACTGCCCAGATGGCCTGTCCAGTCACCTGTCACGGCCATTTGGGTAGTTTCCATTTCTCCCTCCAATAACTAAAGCCACTATGGATGTTCTTGTCTCCGTAGTGGAAAAGGTATTCATTTCTGGAGTAGATGCATTGAACTGCTGGATCACAGGGTAGATGTGCATTCAACCTCATGACTGTATGATGCAGCCAACAGCAACGATGAGCGGGCCGGGGCCCACGGTGCCACCGACATCTGACAGTGACCATCCCTCGACTCCGAGCCACTGGGGTTATGTGCCATGGTTCCCTCTATGGTCATCTACACTTCTCCAGTGATGGCCACGACCAGCACCTTCTCATCTGCTCATTGGCTACTTGTGCCTCTTCTCAGCTACCTGTTCGTGTGTTCTCCTGGTTTCTATGGGGTGGTCTTTCCATCATCGAATTGTGGGATTCTTCTTTCTTCAGGTATAAATGTCACACATTTCTCCAAGGCTTGCCTTCTTACTTCCACAAGGAAATCTTTAAAAAAATTCTACAAAGAAATTTACATTCCATTTTATCTTTCTCGGTAGCATAGCAAAACAATATAGAAAAACATATGCCAGCCTGAGAAACATAGTAAAATCCCATCACTACAAAAATTATAAATATTAGCTGAGTGTGGTGGCACACACCTGTAGTCCAGCCACTGAGGAGGCTGAGGCAGGAGGTTAACTTGAGCCTGGGAATTGGAGGCTGCAGTGAATATGATCGCACTCCACTCCAGCCTGGGTGACAAGAGTGAGACCCTGTCTCTAAAATTATAAACTAGGATAATAATTTTTAAAACAGAAACAAATACAGAGTATCTACCCACACTTTTTTGGAAGCAGTAATATATTTCATGTGTAAGAATTAAATAGTAATTCCCCTTTTCCCACCTTTTCTCTAAATCTGAATCACACACCATGGGGTCGATGAGCATCAAGGCCAAGTAGAGCAGTCTCCCCAACACTGTGGCATGGCTTGGCTGGGACACCTAGCACTGCCCAGTCTCTAGGGAGTCTGCACCCTGCAGCCCCACTACCTGTCTCTCCTTCACGAGCCGCAGTTCCCATGGCCCTTAAAAGCCCTGTCCACTCCCAGTCTCGAAGGGCCTCTCCACAGCTCCCAGGATTCTGCCCACTTCCAGTTACAGTGTGTACGTTGTGTGAAGGTGGACTCATGGCTCCCAGCCCTCAAAGGCACGGAATCGGACCAGGGCCTCTGTCACAAACCTGGTGGCCATCACATGCGAATCCACTGCTGGCCCACTTCTCTCCACTGACCAGATCTGCCCTCACACCGGGGCCATGCCGTCTTCACTGCTATTGCTTCAGAGTGAGTCTTGAAGGTGGGAGTGTGAAGGGCTCCGATTTGTTCTAGGCCAACCTGGCTAGTCCAGCCCTCTGCCATTTCCATACGCATTTTAGAGCCAGACCATCCATTTCTATGAAAGCCCTACTGGGTTTTGACTGGGAAGCATCGAGTCCACGCAGCAGTGGGGACACGCTGTCTTGTCCTCCATGGACACAGCGTGGTTACTGAGATCTCCTTGGGCTTCTCCAGCTTCCATGAAGGATCTCATATATCTTTCATTCAATGTACTTCCTGGTGTTTGCTGTTCTTGGGGCTACGGTAAATGGCTCATTTTTCTATTTTTTTTTTGAGATGGAGTCTGTCTCACTCCATCGCCCAGGCTGGAGTGCACGTTCATAGCCACCCCAGGGTCGACCTGCTGGGTTCCTATGATCCTTCCGCCTCAGCCATCCATTTTCCAATTTTCTAATTGCATTGTTGGCACATAGATTCACATACAGTGGTGGCTCCTGACCTGTCCTGCATCCCACTTGCCCACACGCAGCTGTCAGTGTTATGCATGGTTTTGCCAGGATTTCCCAATGCACAAGGCCACGTCATGTTTTCACCATCTTCCTCTCCAAACTTGACATCGTCTTTCTTTTTTCGTGCCTTTCTGTCTGGAAGTGCCAGTACACAGAGGACAGAGCAGCGAGAGCATATGTCCTTGTCCCATCCTTAACGGTCCCGGCAGGAAGAGTCACACCACGTTGTCCCCTAGGTCCACACCCACACATACGTCCACATCAGACCGAAGGCAGCTAGAAATGTGTGTGGTGTGACACCAAGCAGCAGTCGAGGGTCTCGGGGACAGAGGACAATGAGCAGATATGCCTGGCATCTCATGACAATGGCTTGCCATAGGGATCTAATGGTAACTGAGGACTTGTGTCACCTGACAGTGACTGTCCTGAGCGGACTGACAACCCCACAGGAAGGGCAGAAAAGCTGAAATTGTTTCATCCGCATTTGTAGAAACTCAACTGTCTTTTGCTGACTGAACTAACTTATTTCAGGCTGAGAACTTAGTGAAAGTAAAGGATCAGTCATGGGTGGACAGCACAAGGTGACCTAACCAAGACCTCGCCCTGGCACCCCATGCAGGGAGACCACAGGCTCCAGTGCTTCCTGAAAAACCCTCCAATGTGAGTTTAGTTTCTTTCATCACCCGACATCACACGTGTCATGGGCTGAACTGTGTCCTCCCCCAAAAAGGTACAGTGGAGGCCAAGCCCCTATCACCCCAGATGTGATGGCATCTGGAGACAGGGCCTTCACAGAGGTTGCTGAGTTGAAATGAAGCCATCTGGGGGGCCCTGCTCCAGCAGGACGGCTGTTCTTCCAAAAGGTGGAAACAGATATGCTCAAGACAGCAGACATGCAAGATGAAGGCAGAGACAGGGTGCTGTGTCCACAAGCCATGGAATGCCCCACGGCTGCCAGGAGTTGGAGAACAGCCTCCCTCAGAGCCGCAGAGGCAGCCCATCCCGCAGCACCTTGGCCTGACTGCGGCTCCGGGTCTGGGAGACAGCAGTCTCTGTTATTCAGGGTCCCAGCAGCAGTCCTTTGTGCTGGTAGCCCCAAGAGACCAGTGTGACAAGTGTCTGCCAGAACAACTTGCAGATAAGCCTACCTACTATAGTGGATCCGTCATGCCAGGAAAAGAGAATACAGTCTGGCCAACTCTGGTCATACTGGCTCCAGTCACATTCCGAAGGGTGCCCCCTAACCCCAGAGAGCCCATTGCTCTGCACAGGGGTCTGTATCAGGACTGGGGCCTTTGCTACCTGCCAGACCCACCAGGTGCAACCCTCTTTCCCCACCCCCTGCCTCTTCCAGCTGCGCCCAGTTCTGCAGGACGAGGGCCGGTGTCACACAGCAGAACTCTGCCTGCAGCCGAGCCAGAATGAGCAGAGGTGTCAGCTCAGCCTCCCTCAGGCTCCACATCCGCGTCTGCCCAGCCCAAGGGAGCTCTGTCCTCAGAGGGGACATGGCTCAAACTGGTTCCGTGGGTTTTAGCTACAGGTGCCTACCAGGGGGCTCAAACCAAATCCTCGGTGGAACCAGGACCACATCCAGCAGCAGAATCTAAAACAGGGAAGCTGGGAAAAACAGGCAAAACCAATACAGATAAATTTGTTTTTAATAAAGGAGTTAATTTTCTTTCAATCCTATATAAAACAATAGCAATTAAAAACTTCATTTTTGAAAGTAAAATATTTACATATGAACAAGTAACTGTGCAAAATTTACATGAAAAAATGGAAAGACAGGGATTTCCTAAAAGACAAAATAAAAGGTGTAACAGTTCTCAGGTGTTGATAAAAAATACTGATCAGCGTTCAGTTCACACGCGCTTGAATTAAAGTCTACGTGAGAATTCACACGGAGAGAGCCAAAGTATTTACAGTCATAAAAGTACTATCAATAGACAATTTCATACAATAACCTCTGAAAATATAAAGAACCAATTAGTATATTTGTAATAAAAAAATAGGTACAAAGAAGGGGCTTTGCTCTGGACATCTGTAAAGTCGGCCCAAGACTTGTATACAGTCTCTTAGCAAAATAATTCTAGTTCACACAGCCATTTCCACGTTATGTGCCAAAGCGTATGTACAGGTGCTGACAAGATACACCAACCATTTTCAACACTTGATTCACACCGAGAAACAGTCTTTTGATGATTCTTCTCAACTTTGATTTTATTTCATCTAAGTTTTCACTTTTAGCTAAAAAAAACACAGTGCAAGTAAAATATATTTATGCTGAAAAGGTTTTCATTTCCTTTAACTTTACAGCTTTACAAACTATAGCAAATAAAATGCATTTGTACAGATGCTGACCACACATTCAGAAGGAGCCCACCTCCGCCGGGCTCTCAGCCTCTTCTAAGCAGAAATGTGATTACACTCTGAGGTGATGGCGCTACAAAGGATTGTGTGTTCCTCGAGGATTTGGAGGGGAGGAGAGGAGCAGGGAGCGGGGAGGTGCCGGGAAAGGGAGAGGAAGGGAGGGGAGGGGAAGGGAGAGGAAAGGAGGGGAGAGGAAAGGAGGGGAGGGGAAGGGAGGGGAGGGGAAGGGAAGGGAAGGGAGGTAAAGCAAGATAAATAGTCTAAAAATCAGTTTGCTTTGCCAACTGACTATTACAAAAATAAAACAAATGAAATGAGGTCACCTGCTGTAGACACACACTACACAGTGAGTTAGGTTGAACTAAACCAAAATGCACAAATAAGGTAGACACTGCTACAGCGACAGGGCAGCTAGTTACTTGCTGAACGATCCGTCAGTCTTTATATATGGCTTGTTTGGCAAGAAGGCCACTCAATCAAAGATGAGTAAGATTTAATTGTCCTTAAGAGTATCCACAGGCCTTTGTATTCTCTGTTACAGAAACGGATTTTCTTTCATACTGAAGAGTTGATTTAGAAACAGGAATATAAAACTGTTCCATTGTAAAGAGGTGGCTGTTTTTTAAACAATATCCCATTTGCTTGTTACAAAAAGGCGTAATCTGCAAATATATAAAAACGTCCCCAGGCGTCTCTGTCGAACACCGCGCTGTGTCACTTGAGGAATGCTTTGTAGAGCAACAGTGAATGGCTTGTCTCACGCTCATTTTCTAAACAAAATATGAGGTCCCTGAGGTTGACCCGCGTGATTCTTTGTCGCGTGAACTGTCTGGGGGTTCCAACGCCGGAGCTGCCTGGGACTACTGAGCCTGGGCCAGACCCCTGGTGATGAGAAAGGAAAGAACAGGTGTTAGCAGTGCTCAGAGGTGGGTTGGGAGCAGGGAGAGAGAGAAACAGTGTCCCTGAATGTGTCCCCGGGATCTGGATTCCGGGGGAGGCCAGGTCAACATAGCGCCTCCTGGAAGGCCAAAGCCTCTGCTGGGAAGGGCTGAGGGCACTCAGAAGCACCACCAGCTTGCAGGGCCTTGGCAACACCTGCCACCCATGCTGGGTGGGTGAGGGCGAGGCCTTTGGGACCCGGGTGCACTCAGAACATGGCCCCTTGATGCCAGCCAGAGCTCAGCCCCTGATCCCAGGCTGAGGAAGGACCAAGGGAGGTTCTCACCCAAGGTGAACGGCAGAGCAGTTCCTGGCCACCCTCCCAGTGACCACAGCAAGGCTGCTGGAGGATTGGGGCATCACAGAAGCCCACCCCGGGGACCCAGCTGTGTTACCCCTGCTTGATGGATAAAGGTACTGGAATGAGCTCCTGAACTGGATGGGCTGGTGATCAGTGGGGAAGGCTGACTGCCTTCCACAAGGACCCACGCCTGGGGTGGGCTCCCTTATACCCAGACACCCCTCTGGGTGACTCGCCATCTTCTGAGCATCCTGGACACAGTCCTACTGGAAGACAGCAGCTGCGGGGGCTGGCTCTTCCAGAAGGATTCTGGTTTCATCAGGACGTAACCCCACAGGGCACACACTACCCTGATGCATCTAGCGCATCCTGATGGTCCAAGTTGCTCTTGTATATTTAAGTAAAAGTTACAAAGGCAATTTTACAGCATATAGTATATCCCCAAGGCTTAAGGAGCTGGAAATGAGGAATTCCACCAGGGCCAGAGGAAGCACTGCTGTGTGCAGGCACAGCAAGCGGCCAGCAGTGGCAGGCGAGGCCTAGCCATAGGACTGCATGGTGAATGTCCCCAGAGCCCACTTCTGCAGGGCAGCCCCGTCTTGTTTACTGAAGCAAATAAAGGTACACACGTCACTGACCACCTGACTTGGTTTTCCTCTAACGTGTGCAATCCAGATGCCCCTAACCTAACCGCCGAGCCCTTTTCTAGCCCGGTCTTATGTCTCCTTGGTGGCTGCCTTTCCTCGTTCCAAAGGTCGACCAGGGCTTCCATGGCAGTTTCTCTCTGAGTCTCCATAACAGCCAAAAAAGGAACATTTCGCATAGGAGACACATGGAGCATCTTCAATGCCTAAGGACAGACTGCTGAAAGCACGAGGAGGAAGATGGAGGCCACACCTACCTCCTGCCCTCCAGGTGAGCAGCCCTGGAGAGCCTGGCGGGTACAGACAGAGGCCAGATTCTGGGAGGACAGCCGGGGCGTGGGCCTCCAGGAACCCTGCCCACTGGAGGACAGCAGGGTTATGTGAGGGGAGTCATAGCTTCTGTTCCCTCTGGAGCTGTTCTGAGACTCACTGGGAGACACAACACCAGGGAGAGCTACCCGCCTCAGAGGTGAGCTTGCAGGGTGGACCTATACCTGTCCTTCCTGCACCTTTGTGACAAGCTAACCAGCACCTGGCTTTAGGGCTCAGAAAAGACACCCAAGTCAGTGACAAGCAACCTGTGAAGTATGCATAGGTGGGGTTCTCAGAGACACCGCCAGGCCGCAGGGCCTCAGTAACACCTGTCACTCACATGAGGCTGCATGTGCCTCTATAATACACAACTCGACAGCGACACAGGGCCAGAGGGTCAAGGCGCATGTCTCAGGCTCATTTAAAGGATACAAGAGTCAGAAGCCAGAGAAAAGAGACGTTATACAACCGCCAGCCATGGGTGGGTAAGTGTGGCCAATGCCTCCCTGGTGCCTGGCCCACCCACCAGCTGGTCACAGCCTGCACTGCTCCTGCACTGCTCCTGTACTGGGCTCTGAAGGGCCCCAGGCTGCCGTACTAAGGAGAAGCCACCACATACTCCACACACCCTACTTGATTTTCCCATGACGTCTAACTACGAGGGGGGAATGGCCACTCCTCAGTTCTCCCCCAGTTGGGGTTTGCAGATTGCTGCTGCTACCCTGAGAGCTTGGATCACAGAATATCACAGTATTCTGTGGTCATGACAGTGCTGGCCATGGCAGGGTCTCCTCCCCTAACCTGGAGGTGGGTGGAGAACTGATGGAAGGCTCACCCCAGCCCGAGGCTGGCCAGTCCCAAGGTCACGTGCCCAACTCAGCCCAACCTACCCCTCCATCACCCCAAGCCCTTGTGGCTATGCCCGCCACAGGCATAGGAGCCCAGGGTGGGGCAGGCAGCAGGGACAGGTCTCGAGCCCACTGGGAGGAGAGAGCTGGCCCTCTCTCCACGCCCCACAGGAAGCCCTGGGAAGAAGAACCTGAAGGCTTGTCCCTGGTGCAAGGGGGTCCCTGGCCACCCGAAGGCTGCAGCACCTGCTCGCCGCCCCCCACAGCACAATAACCCAAAGCAGAGAGCTGGGACAACAAACAGCTCTCCGAGGACAAGCACCAGCACAGAGCCCAGGAGATCCAGCCTTGCCTTTGCAACACTGCAACACAGTGAAGAGGGAGCTGCGGTTTAAGCAGGCGCCAAGGGGAAGACAACCAGCAGGACCTCAGACACACCCGGAGCCTGGGTCTCTTCCTCTGTGAAGTGGGGCCTGGGACACCCTCCCGCCGTCACAGAGCCTGGAAAGGATTGATAAGAGGAGGCCAGCCTCTTGACTGTTGAACGTGCCTCAACAAACTGACCTGCCACAAATGCTCATGTTCAAACCAAATGGAAGAAACCTTCTCCGAATCCTACACCAACACCCGCTGAGGGACAGCTCCGGGTCCACCACACCCCCACAGTGCCCACCCAAACCCGAGCATCCAACTCCAGCGCCAGTATCACCTCTGGGTGCTTCAGGAGGAGGAACGCCCATTCAGGGCTGCAGCCTGCTGGCCCGTTCTCCCTCCCCCAGGGAACAGCAGGCAGAGAGGGGCTAGGGTTCTAACCTACTCTGCCAGACCAAGCGCTCTGGGTCAAAGTGGCAGGGTGCCAGGTGTGGTGGCCCAAGCACAGCACATACCCCAGAGCCAGGCCTGCTTCCCCCAGTGTGTGTTCATCCGTCCCTCCTCCACTGCCGCACTGTCCCCAAGCGCACAAGGCCACCCCACATGTGGCCATTGTAAAAACAGAAGTAGGAAGAAAAACATGAAGAACGCAACCGTCACACCCTGCGGGGCAGCTGAGGTGCCATCTCCCAACATCTCTTCCAAAAACAGCCACAAGAAAGGAAGAGAGCACCATGTGACATCACACGGTGCACAGTATAGCCACAAGGGAGGCCTGTGTCCAACACACCTGAGCAGGAGTCAGCACAGCCCAGATGGGGTCCTGCCTACCCCTCTAGCAAGGTGACTGGGAGGGCCTGGAGGCAGTAGGAAGCCCATCAGGAAGGTCAAGGCCACCTAGCTGAGAGTCCTGAAGGGTGTCCAGGAAGGCAGAGTACAGGGAGCGGGCCCGGGAACATGAGACGGGATGGATCCTCAAGGGCAAGACAGAATGCCCTGAGAAGAGTCCTCTGAGAGCAGGCGGTGGAGGGAAAGTCAAAGGGGAAGTCCAGGGTCCCGCAAGATAAGCGCGCCTCACAGGACGCCTCCAAATCAATGGCTTACCAGCCTGCACTTCACGATGCTGCCAGAAGAGGGCGCCATGATACTAGGCATGCTACAAAACAGACTAGCTCCCACAAGAGCCAGGTGGGGACACCAGTCCACCTGGTGCCCTGGGGAAGCCAAAGACGAGACTGCACACATGTCAGAGACATACGTCTGGACACCCGAGGGAACATGAAGAGACAAACCTCAAGAAGGTGAAATAAATAAACATCTAAGGATGTGAAAATCACCTTGAATCAGAAACTCTAAAACTTGGAAAAAAAAAGGAATGAGAGTTGACTGAACTCAGGAGAGAAATGGAAGGAAGAAGACAAAATTAGCTTAGACACGAATAAACTACCAGGAGCTCAAGTGCAAATAGACCCCTGTGAACACATCGTGAGGAGCATAGAAAAGGGCAACAAGGAGACAATGACCAAAGTACCAGGGTCAGGAGAACAGCAGTGGGGGTGAGAGGCCAGCAGAAAACCAACTGAGCACACATTGCCCCGGTCCCCAGAGAAGGAACAGCCCAACACAGCAGAACTAGTCTTTACATTATAAGCCAGGACTTTCCAAACATGGAAAAAAACCAAACTCTGCACATTGAAAAGGCCAGTGGTGCCCAGGACAATATCCAGAACAGTCAACTCAGACATGTCCTCATAAATAAAACCAATGGTTTTCAAAGGTAAATGTAAAGGCCACCAAGGAAAAAGAGAAAATTACTTATAAAGGCAAGGGGACTGGCTAAAAGGTTTTTCAAATCCACCACCCACAGGAACAGCATTCTGAAATAAACACTCAGGAAAGACACTCAAATTCACCATTCACAGGAACAGCATTTGAAAGTAAACACTCAGGAAAGAAGTTCAAATCCATCATCCACAGGAACAACATTAGAAACTAGAGGAAAGAAGTTCAAATCTATCTACCATCCAAAGGAACAGCATTCAAAACTAAACACCCAGGAAAGAGGCCAGCAGAGACCCGATGGCCAGCGTCTCTGGCACCAAGGTCACAGAAACCAAGGCCACAGGAAACATCACTCAGGGGAGGCTGCATCAGACCTCCCTGAGCCTCCCCAGAGAAAGAGCTTCATGCACTAACACGTGGGACCCATAGCAGAGGCAGGGAGTGAAGCAGAGGTGCGGACGGGAGGGTGATGACACACCAGGCCACAGCACTGCTGCGTATTACATGAAGCTGATAGAAATTGTAAAACCTGAAAATAAACTGAAAAGTGTAAAGTACATAAAACACTGGAGGCCAAGGGCATTTAGAAAGCTTTAAGTATCAGGCCAGTAACTCCTGCATGCTAAGAGGCTGAGGTGGGAGGATGGCTCAAGGCCAAGAGTTTGAGACAAGCCTGGCCAACAT